TAAACGTTCCAAATTTTCTAAATAAGCAGATATGCAAAAGAAGATGGGTGAACAAGGTGTGCAGAATACCTATAGCTTCAGATATATAAAAATCATATTCAGTTTGTGAATTAAGTACTGTAAACCAACTATTTTTCACGTCATCTTTTATTCGCGATTCGTCAGTTTGATATCAATCCACGATGATTAATTTTTGCGACTGAGGAATTATTCAATACAAATACAAAGCAAAATAAATGGTTTGCGGCGATTAATATTCGCAAGTTAAAGTAGGTCGCGAAACCTGCGGATATTTCTCGCACACGAATAAAAGTTGGTTTACAGTATTTAGAGTAATGTTCTCATTAGGCTTTCTAGAGTTAATTCTACGTTTAACGTCACCCAAGCACGTAGGTTTCCGAGAAATCTGGCTTTGGAAAAAACAAACAATTCTGAATTTAAAGTATCCCTTCCAGTTTGGTTTTACAATCTAGCGACACAATACTGCATACTTAGTGAAAGAAAATGTGCTAATCGCAGTTGGTGTTTTATAAGAAGAGAACTGGTGATTTAACCAGTATGCGATCATAAAAGAAACATAGATGGTATTATAATTGAGGTTAATGACAATGTCTCATTTGGTGAGTGTTTTTATGTCAGTCGTCAGTTCACAGACTCTCAATTCGTCATCATTTTTTCTGAGCTGTTCACTGTACCTACAATATTAAAAGGAATGAAAATATTAGACATTGACATTTTAGCAGGAAGAAGCTTACAGAAGATGAGGGCTCTCAACTGAAAGAAATGAGGGTAGAGGAAAGCATTCTAACAAACCTGTCTTGTGTGTGTAGAAAATAGAGGTAATATAATCTAAAGCTATGGTACAACAAACATTGTATTTCTCTTTCAAAACAAAACACTAGTTCAATGGACCACAGCATATGTTCAATTTAAGATACTTCAATATAATACTGTAATAAAATTGTCATAATGATTTCAATTGTAGATATCAGTATACTATTTTCACTAGAGGAAGCATTTTCCTACAGTGTTCCATGTATGTAGTAATATAAATCCAAACTGACATACTTCTAGACCTCGTTAGAAGAAACTCTTCTGCATATCTGATCTACATTGTGTGCTCACAAAAGGATGCATGCCAATTTGTGTTCTAAGGAAAAACCTTTTTACTTGTGTAATGCAAAACTAACTTGGATATCAAATCTAATACTTTAATATTACTCAGTAGTGTTTTTTTAAGTACTGGATAGGTTAATTTGAAGATATAAACATTTGTATGACATTTTTGTTTATTTTTTCCTCCCTCCCTCATAGGTTTTGAATTTTATAAGTGACGTTAAACTAGAATTAACTTTGGACAGTTTTATTAAAGTTTACAAAATTATGATAAACAAAACTATTATGAGGTAAATTTTCTTAGCAATAATTATTCAATTGTTAAAAAATAATGTGGTACTGTAGATTCCTAAATATAGGAATTTATTATTGTGTAATTTCGCGAGAAGCACCACTCGCGAAATAAATTTACTCGCTTTTATTTTTATGTTACTGAAATCCATTTAAAATCTCTTGAACAAACGCCCACTCACGTTTTCTTGCGATTTGACATTGAACCATTTCGCTACAGTGGCGGATTTAAAGGGGGGGCGCCCCCCCTAAAATTGTCAAAGTTGCGTAATTCATAATTTCGTAGAGAAAATGTCTATTCGGTAGACCTCATTTTTACCCTACAAAATCCCTAGAATCCAGGAGCTTCTGGGGGCTTCACCCCCTGGGACCCCACCACTTGGGGCCTCAAGGCGGCCCCCAGACCTCCGGCCTACTTTTTGCAACCCCTCAAACTTCAATTCCTGGATCCGCGCCTGCGCTATATTAAGTACTCATGAAAAATAAGGAATCTACAGTATTCGTGGGATTTAAACCCTAGCAATAAAAATCCTGAGAATCATTTCCCTTTGAGACTAAACATGATAACCATTACGCTACACAACTCCTGAAGATTAGTGGCTTTTAAATCATGTTTGTGATATGACCCTTGACGAAATGGACTTCAAGTTTTTCTTAGAAAGATGCAAATATTGTGTCATAAAAGTGTATTTCTAAGGTATAGTGGGTCTTTGCCCCATGTTTTTGTTAACTAAAAAGTGTACATTTTTACACAAACTTTGAGGATAAACTTTCAAAAAAATGGAGTAAAGACCCTCTCATATATGATAATCATAGGTTTTCTATGTAGACAAAATCATATTTATCTAGAAAAGCATGGGGGAACACTATACTAATTAGAAAACTTCAAAAGGATGGTTTGGGGAGAGGCTTCATTTGGTGGAAGGTTTACTTTATGACACCAGATATCAAGAGATATTTTTCCTGGTCCCAAAAATGTTGGCTTTACTGTATCTTTACTGTATCTAAGGGCACCTTTGGTTTGTCTTTGCCTTTGGATTCCTGCTGAGCTGAGTCCGAATTATCTCTGTCACATTTTGTTCCGACAGATCTGCTGGATTCCTCCTGATCCTGAGCCTCCATTTCACACAATCAAACACTTACAATGAGGACATAAAAAGTGATTAGCTACAACAAACACAAATGATAAAATGTTTCTTAATTGCTTTCTAAATTCACAAGTAAATTCAATTTTTTTTAACCGACCATTTCAATATCCAAAGAGTATGGGTTGCATAAATTTGAGCCCATTTTTCCTGACAGTGTAAAAAGAATAAGTCTGACTTCAACAATACCCATACATATCTATGTGTATTTTTTTGTTTTAAATTTTAAGAAAATAACCTGTTAATCAATATCAAATAAATTAATTTATCTTTTACTGTGTCAGATTAAATCAAGATGAGCAGGATAATTTTTTAACGAATGAAATTATTTATGAGAAAGTTGTAAATTTTCTTTATGACGATTGTTCATGAACTTCAGCAATTGTAAAAGAAAAGATGATAAGATACACAATAACCATCTATTATTTGACACTACATTATATCTAAGGGAAATAAGAACAGCAAGACCTTCCTTATTTTCCAAATTGGCTATTTACTCAAAATAGGAAAGAGTGCACTTGAGTATATTGATTGTAAAATATTTGTACTGAGTATTACCTCATAAATTGCAGTTACCTGCACTCCACGTGACAGAATTAGATTGGTCTCTAACACATTTATGGCTATCTAAATCAACACTGTCCAAATAGTCCATGAAATTTGAGAACTTTCCATATGATATAAGGATGACTTGTAAAACTCTCAATGTTAACTTGAAAGCTTACAGAAAAATTGTGACATGTTTTTACTCAAGCAATAAAAAGGAAAGTAAGCAAGGCTGAAATCTTATGATAATGAGTTCAGAAATCTTGTAAATTAGCACAATTTTTATCTCTAAGCTTTAAAGGGGCTTGGACACAGATCTGAAGACAATATTTTCTGGAAGTTTCAGTATAAAATCATGACATTTACATTGCTAGAGCATATCACACCTTAATTTTATATATGAGTGTTTAGAAACTTCTTTTATCTGAAAATTATTAAAAGTACAAATATTGGAGTGCGTTTGATTGACACACATCCCTGCATTTCACGAAATAAACTCTTCCTTAATAATTAAGAAAAGTGGAAAATTTGTTGTGTATAAAGGAAAACAAGAGATGTTTGTGAAACACTTATATGCCCCCCCCCCCCCCCCCCAAATAATTGGAATTTTCCCAAGTTCAAGGGGCATAACTGTCAAAAATTGCTCGATCATCCCCAAAACAGAACTTGACCTAGATATTTTTATAAATCTGTATGCCAAATTTCATTTCAGTATGTGCAACTTCTACGAAGAAAATGAACGGAAACTGCAAATAATTTGAATTTTCCTCAGTTCAAGGGGCATAACTCTGTCAAAAATTGATCAATCGTACCCAAAACAAAACTTGGCCTAGATATTCTTATGATAAATCTGTATACCAAATTTCATTTCAGTATGTGCATTCTCTGCGAAGAAAATGAACAGAAACTGCAAATAATTGGAATTTTTCTCTAAGTCCAAGGGGCATAACTCTGTCAAAAATTTGCTGGATCGTACCCCAAACAAAACTTGACCTAGATATTCTTATGATAAATCTGTATACCAAATTTCATTTCAGAATGTGCAACCTCTGCAAAGAAAATGAACGGAAACTGTTTGTGGACTGACAGACAGACCAACTGACCGACAGTAGCAAAGCAATATGCCCTCCCTTCTTCAAAGGGGGGCATAAATATTAAAACTATAATCCAGAACATTCCTAGTAAGAATCTGAGAAGGAAAAATCAACTCACTTGTATTGTCAGTCTGTACTCAGTGATGTGTGTGGAGTAAACAAATTCAACACACTCTGTAAAACGTTAACATTAACAATAACAACTCATGCCCATGTTTACAAACACAGATGTTTGACTTGACGTTATGAAGTATGTCTTTGTCATTATGTTTAAAGAATTTTTATAGAAGTTCAAATCAGAAAACTGAAGTTATATTTTAAATAAAAATAAACTTGGAAATATAATGGCAATGCAACTGTGTCCAGGCCCCTTTAATTTTATGCTTTTCTTTTACACTTTACCTTTATGCTTTATTTTTACACTTTATGCTTTACCTTTATGCTTTACTCTTACACTTAAAACTTTACCTTTATGCTTTACTGTGAAGCTTTATCTTTATGCTTTACTGTGACACTTTACCTTTATGCTTTACTTTGACACTTTACCTTTATGCTTTACTTTAACACTTTACCTTTATGCTTTACTTTAACACTTTACCTTTATGCTCTACTTTGATACTTTATCTTTATGCTTTACTTTGACACTTTATCTTTATGCTTTACTGTAACACTTTACCTTTATGCTTTACTTTGACACTTTATCTTTATGCTTTACTTTGACACTTTATCTTTATGCTTTACTTTAACACTTTACCTTTATGCTTTACTTTAACACTTTACCTTTATGCTTTACTTTAACACTTTACCTTTATGCTTTACTTTAACACTTTACCTTTATGCTTTACTTTGACACTTTACCTATATGCTTTACCTTTATGCTTTTTCCAATTCAACTTTTGTTGGAGCAGCTACTTCTTCACCTTCTAGAAAATCATCCTGTAAAACATATAACACACCTTCTCATCAAGTTACAAATAACCTTATCAACTGAAACAATTCAAAAGCATTGTATGGTGATTATAAAATACAAGTATTAATGTCTTTAGTTTGTTCCAATTGTAAACAAAAAATTTATCATTATACTGGAAAGGTCGACTATCTGTTTCTGCCTTTAAATAAACTAAATATGCATTTCACCATCTATTTGAAGGTTTCGAATGAGCAAGCAGTTCTAAAAACTTGTCGGGCAAATATAAATAAAATTTGGGTTTTTGAATTTTTTACATGATTTAATTCAATTTATAACAATTTTGTGTGATAAGCTTAGATTCTTGAGCCATGTACCATGGTCTGGAATGTCTGATAGGGATAATAGTTTTATTACTGTTAAACATCTTATGTGCAACTTTTGACAGCTACAATTTATTTTTCCTCTTCTATGCACATTAAATTGAAATTAATGTCAGTTCAAAATTTACTTTTCTCTCTTTCAATATCACTCAAACATTAAAAGAATATTCAGAAATGTTATCGAGTAAAGCGTATAAATTTTGAGAGCATATCAAGTGATTATTTATGATTCCTGTAATACAGGATATATCACAGTTATTTCCCTTTGAACACCAGACAAATATCCAGATTGTGCCCACCTAATATCTAAACCTGTATAACTTCAAAGACTGAATAAAATTCAAACAGAAATCTAAATGGGCACAACTATAATTGTAAATGTATCAAACAGTTATGGTAACAAGCAAGACTGTGTCAGTTTGGATGAACCATCTTCATTATAATTCCTCTGTCACCAATAATGATAAAGTTAAAACAATGTTACTTACAATATCATATATCACTTTAATCAAGAGAGAGCAACTGGGACACTTAGCAACGTCTTCACCACTAGCTAATTCTTCCTGTAATGTCAAAACATACTGTAAACCGACAATTAACCAAAACAACTTTTATTCACAATATGTCAGTTTGAAATCTATGCAAGACGACTAATGATCGCAACTGAGGAAAAAATTCTAAACAAATATTCTACATAAATACAAAATGAAACAAGAGGCCCATGGGCCACAATGCTAACCTGAGTCACTTTGGTCCTGCTGGTCTGTGTTAGATTTTTCCCAACACCTATTTTTTCCTATATATTTCAATGTAAAAATTTGATTCCCTATTATGGCCCCACCCTATCCCCAAGGGCCATGATTTGAATAATTTTAAAAAAAATATACTACCTCAGAAAGCTACCACATAAGTTTAAGCTTTTCTGGTCCAGTGGTTCTTGAGAAGATTTTTAGAGATTTTTCCTATATACTTTAATGGAAAACTTTAATTTCCTATTGTGGCCCCACCCTATCCCCAGGGGCAATGACTTGAATAATTTAGAATTTACACTACCTCCTGAAGCTTCCACATAAGTTTCAGCTTTTCTGGTCCAGTTTTCTGGTCCAGTGATTCTTGAGAAGAAGATTTTTTAATGACCCCAACCTATTTTTGCCTTTTCTTGATTATCTCCCTTTGGAAGGAGCTTGGCCCTTCATTTTAAGAATTTAGAATCTCCTTTACCAAGGAATGCTTTGTACCAATTTTGGTAAAAATTGGCCTAGTGGTTCTTGAGAAGAAGTTGAAAATGTGAAAAGTTTACTAATGGACAGACAGACAGACAGATGCACAGACAGACAGATGCCAGGTTATCAGAAAAGCTCACTTGAGCTTTCAGCTCAGGTGAGCTAATAAAAAGTTCAAAGTGAGAAATATTGCACTCAAAGCAAGGTCAGGTAACACATGGATATTTCTTCCATGAATAAAAGTTGGTTTACAGTATCAATGAGTATACATTTGCAGCGACATCTTATATATTATATCTGTCTTTCTGGGTTTTTTTTAAAATAACCAGTAAAATTTTCAAACAAACCTAATTTGTCAATAATTTACATTCTTTGTTTTTTAAATACTGTGCTTGAGAAAAAAATCTGACAATGCAATCTCCATTTTTTTTTTAAATAGGAGGCCATAAAGTTAATTTCAGATGAAAAGCAATCATGCATGGGAATTCTGGAACAGGAAGGGAGAAAAAATGCAACTGAACAGTGCAGGATTTGAGCCCTGACCCTCCACCCCACACTCTAGACAGGTACTCTACCAACTAAGCTATCTTTCCACCAGCAATTAAACCTGTCTGACAGCCACACAGTCATTCCTCTCTACTTAAATGTCTTCACCCCAGAAGATACCAACCCAGGTTCATTTCTGGAAGGTCTTTCACCTGTCACTTGCAGAGCATGGTCAAAGCAGAAAATGAGAAAATGAGTTGGACCAGACAAGGATTTAAACCAGGGCCCCTGAATCACTAGTCAGATGTTCTACCAACTAAGCTATCTGGCCGCCAGATTTAACCTGCCTAAGTGCCACAGTGACATTGTATGCCACCGAGAGAGCAAAAAGCAACTAATAGACAAAGTTCACTTTACACAGATTGTTCTCAATTAATATCATACATAAAATTTATTTTACAAAAGAAATATTAAAGGAAGAATGCTTACGTGAAAAATGAACCACTATTTGGTAGGGAACAACTGCCACAGCATATACATGTATCAATATACAGGCAAATTTGCGCCCGTTCTGTTTTGGCCCCTTCTGCCCTACTCTCATTTGGGCAAATTTAAAACAGAGTGAATTCAAAGAACACAGCATAATTTATTAAACAGAACTATGATTGGGCGAATTTAAAATGGGCAAAATTGTTTGCAAATGTGAAAGGGCAAAAATAACAAGGGGTGAGAATACCCTATTTTCCTATTTTATTAACCTTCATTTGTAATCAGAGTGAATAAAACTACATGTGTATTATAAATATGTAGTAGCCAAAAAAAGTGCTTGTCGATTTCAATTCAGTTTTGCAACGAAATACAACCATACAACAGCAACCTTATTGTTTGGCATGATTGAAAGCATTTCTGGCATCTTAAATTTTACATTTTACTTTCGAAATCCCAAGCCAAAGGATTTCACCAATATACTGGTACTGGAAAAACATATCGCAATACGATATTTTTTGTTGACCAATCACAATATACTGGAATATTGATATTTTTGCGCAATTTATGCACAACGGGCTTCGCCCGTTATGCAAATTATCCCACGTTTCCAACTATCGTTGATGCCCTGGCGTACTCTACTAACTAGACAGTGATTCCTTAATACATTCCTGTTACGTATAATAATATGATATACCAACATGCTTGTTCTTTTTTAACTTGAATCACTGAGCCAATATCAAAATTCACTGGCCTTGGTCTACAGACCACTGAGTTTTCGTGAAGACTGTGTGTCTACTACAAACAAACCAGAGATTTCCAAATTTCAATAATGGCATCTTAATTTCAAGGAAGAAAAAAAAAACGTTGAGAATTTCAAAATATGTTAACTTTTTCTTAAAATTATTGGATTTTTTTTTTTTAGGTAAAAAAACATATCAAAGGCCAAAAAGATCTGTTATTATTAATTTGGTGATTATTTTACTTCAAATTCCTTTTGTATTCTTCAAAATCATGATGGATCCACCCATTCAACACTGCAACTATATGGAACCTATTCTTACTGTGGTGAGGGCTTGTACTGAGGCACAGTTTGATTACTCTAACTAGGATATAGTCCTTTTCACAATGAATGTGGTACTGCTCTTTTGAAGGACTGAATGATATAGGTTGATGAAATATGACATAAAAGCGATTTATATATGTCATTTAATTATCTGCTGTCGACAAAAACGTCACCAAAAATTATTTTTTGCCCTGCAAAATAGTAGTACAGTGTTTACAGTAGTTCCGGATCAGTTTTCATTTATACATTGGTAGTGAAAATTCATAACGAGATTATTATAAATATTTACATACTGTTAAGAGCCCCATTCTCGTACCTTTCATATAAAATGAGATTTATTAATTTATTACTCTGCTTTCGTAAGTAACCAAAGTGTATTCAACAACTAAAATTACGACAGTTTCGGATTACTTACGACAGTTGTGGATCACGCTAATTACCATTAGGCTCTCCCCAGCTTGATTGTTTAAAATATATATATTACTATACTATATAGTATAGTAGATATATATTTTAAACAATTAAGCTGGGGAGTGCCTATTCTTATTACCAGTAACGGGATGTTTCGCACCAGTGCATGGTTTGCTACATGATGGTTTGCGCCGATTCTCTTTTGCGCTGATATGGTTTGCGCTGCAATATTTCATTCCGAATACATTAATATGCTTTTTATGTGGAGGTTTATTATAATATATGTAAATAAATATAAATTTTTTAACATACATTTTTTTCACAGAATGGAATAGAAATTAAACTCTTTATCTAGGCCTTATTTAGAAAGATGAAGAAATAGAAAGTAAATTTCAACTCAGTTATATCAATTTGTTTGTTTTTTTATGGGAAATATTTCAATAATTTGTCATTATGAATAATTATGAATATGGATTATGCAGTTAAAGTGTGATAATCATTCATCTTTTAAGGAAAAAAAGTTAAATTAATTTAATATGGAACACCTGATCAGATTCCAACGAACATGACGAACCAGGCCATATTTTAAAGTTTTGAAGCTGGTGATATAAAAAAAATGATATATATTGGTGGATTTATTATAACAGAAGTAAATGTGATTTAAATTGAAATAAATATCAGACATGCATGTTTTTCGAAAAATAGATTGAAGTATAGATCGAAGCATCCATGCAGTTCTAATGAATTAAGATTTAAAAAAATCATTTATAAGTTGAATATCACCAACAATTTACAGTGGATTAAAGAAGTTTAAAAAACAATGTAAAAAATGATAATTACGGAGTTTACTTTTTCTTTAAGACATAAGAAAATTATATAATAAATTTTTCTACATAGCAAATCCTTTAAAATACGCAGCTCTGACATGTACATGTGACTGTGTTTGTTGTCAGTATTCTGTGCTGGAATGAGATTGAATAACAAAAGAAATTAAATATTTTATTTAATTTTATTTTGATAATGTGTTCACCACATAAAGGTGATCATACAAAATAATACAGTTAACGCAATTAAACGATGTTTGAGACAATCCTTCTTGCGGAGTGAAGTGATCCAGAACTGCAGTAACGGTGGGTTCACAGTGTTTGTTTTAAATATACAGGTTTAATTGATATAAGTTTCTTATATATGGTGAAGTAGAATATATAACAAGTAAACATTTTATGAGTAACAGTGGGTTCACAGTGTTTGTTTTAAATATACAGGTTTAATTAATATAAGTTTCTTATATATGGTGAAGTAGAATATATAACAAGTAAACATTTTATGAGGTTCAATCAATTCCTTACTCGTCTTATGTATAACAAAAAGAACAACTCTTCTTAAAAAGCACGTAAAACTGTCAAAACACCAATCTTCGTCTTTGGGGCGCTTTATTTCTGACGCAACTAAGTATCGAAATCGTGCATGGTAAAGTTCAATTTTTTATTGGAAGTTGTAATACCCCCTATTCTTCGCATGTGATATATGAATAATAATTTTTCTTCAACAATTATTTTTAAAAGAATTATTACACAAAAAAGTGATCCGGAACTACCGATGATCCGGAACTACCGTAAGCACTGTACTGCAGTTATCGCGAAAGGGCTAATTAGCTGTATAATTAAAAATCAATTAGAAAAGGGAACACGTATATCAGTCAACATATAAAGCTACGTGGGATTAAAATAATAATTTCGAGATGGTTTCATCTGCAATAACATGGACAAACGGGGTCTAAGAAATACTTTACAACACCCCTTCTTTTGTTTTTCAGTTGGTATACCTTTGTTATTTCGAATCGATCACCACAGGGACATGGGTAATAATAAGTTTCAGTATCCTCATCGTATTCCATGTCCTCTATTTCAATTTCATCATGAAAAACTGACATTCTCTGTCCAACAGACAACCATGTGTGCAATACCGGATATCACTGTATATATCTAAAACGAGAACCAAACTTTGAATGCCAATTAATCCCGGAATAGTTACAAATATCAAAAGCGCGAGAAAGGACATTACGGAGGAAGTTTAACAATCCCCATCTATTTAAAGGGGAAGTATCTTTGTGCCTCACCCACATTTTGCCAAATTTAATTTATTTCAAAAATCGTAAATTCCACTTTTAACAAAAACACAGACAAGCGGAACTATACATCATTTAGTATAACACACTTTCTTCTGAAGACAAGAATTATTCACTATGTGTTACTCAATACAGACACAGTTATTCTTGCCTGCAATCAGCTGCGATGGATTTCTATTGTATATTTATATTCCTTAGAATTTAATCAATTTGGTGTATTACATTGCTTATATTCCGTCTGTACTACTATAGTTCTTGTCTGCGTTAACAGGTTAAAGGAGATATAGCGTGCAGAAAGCCTATAGCTTCAGATATATAAAAATCATGTTCAGTTTGTGAATTTAGTATTTAGAGTAAAGTTCTCATTATTGAAATTTATGAAATTATGATAAACAAAACTTTTCTCAGGAAAATTTTCTCGGCAAAATTTATTCTTTTATTAAAAAAATTAATGTGGTATTCGTGGGTTCGAACCCTGGCAATAAAAATCCTGAGTATTATTTTCTTTCGAGACTAGCACGCTAACCACTAGACTACACAAGTCCTGATGAATAGTGGCATTTAAATCATGTTTGTGATATGACCCTTGACTTAATGGACTTCAAGTATTTCTCGAAAAGATGCGAATGTTATGTCATAAAAGTATATTTTTAAGGTATAGTGGGTCATTGCTCCATATTTTTGGTAACCAAAAAATGTATATTTTTATGCAAACTTTGAGGATTAACTTTCAAAAAGGTGGAGCGAAGACCCACTCATATCGAAAAATAGTATTATTGTATGAGAAAATGACTCTTTTTGCCCTCTTTAGTGTGTGTCTAATATTTCACAGGCAAATAATTTCAATCTCTGAAGGATTTTTGCAAATTATAGAGATTTTACATAAAGTATAATTTAATGTTAGACGAAATATCAAGGAAAATTTTGATATAATTGAAATTTAATTTTTCATCTTCATGTTTGTCACGCTATAGGCTTATCGCTCGTCATGTTCACCCATCTCCTTGCGCTGGAAAGTATATATACGTACTGCTTATATAGATTATCTGAGCTTAATATATTTAGAAATACATACATGTACCGAGTCAATAAATTTCAGATCTAACGTTTTCAAACAGTAGGATAACATCCTTGGATTTAATTTTTACAATTTGTATACATTATTGGCATGTTATATTATATCAACGGAGATGTGTTGTAAAATAAACACACACCAAGAAAAAATAAGAATTTAGACATTTCCTTTTTTACAATAAAAAGTAAGGTGAAACAATCAAAACAAATAACATTTTGAGATAATAAACTCAAAATGTGTTGACAGTATAATAATACTTCGTAATAAATGTCTATGGAAAGGTTCCTCTTATCTCTACATACTGTAATAAAATGAAAATGAATTATTACATGCATATATGTAATAAAGTCATAGAGTGTAACTAAATCGACAAGATTTTTGTAAAGACTGAAACCAATCTCGGCCCTATAGGTCCAAGCTCTATTTATAAAAAAGTGTTCCTTTTCTGTAACATCTCTTCATCCACCTCACCTTTAATTTTTACCCCATAATGTAGAAATTATTACAGAAAGAAGTGTCTGTGCTTAATTTCAAAAATCTTTCAATTACATTCATCAGGAATTTAAAGATAACTGAATACATCTACCGCATTCCAGCATCAAAAATTGAAATTCAGATATCCTAAAGTGGTTCAGCTCCTATATATTAGAGGTAATGAATATTAATGACACAAACAAGAGGAAATGAGAAACACATTGCAGTGTGTAGCCTGATTTACAAAGATAAGCAAATCTAAAAGCTATCAACATTAAAATCAACTAGATGAATTTTAAGCTAAATGGATCCCCTGTCCTTTCCCAGAAAAATATATCCTTGAACATGTGTGTGCGGTTTTTGATGACACTATTCAAAGATTATGAGAAAAAAATCGTATAACCCGCTAACATGGGTTACATATATTTTTTTCTGCATTGTTGCATCATTATATACATGTATGCTGTAAATCACAACAACAACAAGAGAATTTTATTGTTTCAATGAGACTCCTGTTTCAAATGGAGCCCAATATGAACACTTCTTGCACCCTCTACAAAATCTGCGGACGGGCACTAAAAAAAACCTCCTTTTTGCAGGGGGCCTGCCTCTAAGTCATAGACTTACGTTTATATTCATTCTATATTCTAGTCACAATTTCAACATACATTTACCTCGGCTGGTTATAACTTTGAGATACGAGACTGAGTCCAAAAATTGGTTGGGCTTAAACATCATGGGCAACAACATGTATACTTGAGTTTGAACAGCGATTCTCGCGTTTAAATGATTGTAGCTTTAGCCTAGGAGCGTATAGTATTTTTTTTATAGTAATATTCATTTAGATGCTGGTCCCCCCCCCCCCCACTTTATGTTGCTGTGAGGTCGTCCAGCACTGGCATATTCCAGGATTTAGACAGTTTAGGTTTTTTTGTCTGTCAGTTCTTTTGGGAGATTGCTCCTACCCCCTCCCCCATTGAAACCGTTGCGACAATACAAAGCACTCATTCACCCCCACCCTTCCACCCAACCACCCAAAGACTCATTCACTCCCCCCTCAACTCATTCGCACCCAACCACACCCCGAGGACCCCCGGGACATTAATGTCAACTTCTATTAATAACAATATATAAATACTGATTGGAAGAAGAAAATCGATTTTTTTTACAAGGATTGTGCAACTCGAAATTGCTCAAGTAGTCATTACACCTTCTTATGAATTTTCCCCTCTCATGCATGTAAACTGATGAAGACCAAATTAGACTGGCATAACGTGGGTCGATTTCCAACAAATGCTGGGGTAAACGTATCAAAAGTTTTGGACATGGGTAGTACGACAATTGTAGAAAAAGAAAACCAAGATTGAATCCCTTATCAAAAAGTTCATATTGTTCTTTCCACTCATTAGAAATCTTTAGAAATTTCTCTCTCTCTCTCTCTCTCTCTCTCTCTTACCAATAAAATTCGACCATGTATAAAAAGACTATACTAAAACACACAATTTAATAATTAGAGCACGACTGTTGTTAGCAGTTCTACGGTTTTCTTCACCGTGAATCTCATATAGGCAAGATGAAACAATGGTGTGTTACATCTGTATGGTTATATACTTATTAACTTAGGTATCTCTTTAAATAGAAAAATAAGTTAAGGGAGATCGATAGATAAAAAACAAAATACATGGAATGAACGTTACATGTTTTAGACAACAAAGTCATTTATTGTTCTATCACTCTTTAATTTATTCACAAAGGTATAAGCACTTACATAAATATCATACAGTTTGACAAATGGATTTTTTATTCCGATTTGAACAAGCGATATGATAATTGACATTAAATTGTCAGCGAATTACGTTGTTTAATCCCTTTGCCTATATATGTAGTCGAAGTACCCATCACAAACACAACGAACTTTTTGATCCCAGATAATCTCGTTCGTACATTTTCCTCCATTTCTATTTCTCCGTCGAACTGGATCTAATTTATTTCCAAACTGAATTCATCCTCACCCTAACCCCATACGACAGCGGTCAAAGTCCCCTTGTGCCTTTACTGTCCACACACCGTGTAAGCAGCCATTCACTAAGGTGCTTCTCATTCTGACATGAAGGGGATGTACATGTATACAGGAACAATCTGATGTAAGTTCTTAATTGAATTTGGAAAGAAGGGTATCAACACTCGCTCGGAAACTAAACTTCTGATGACGGACGGTCAGAATGTGTATTTGGGTAAGTACAGCATGTTTTTGTTTTTTTGTTCTCCCAAAGAGGCAACTGTAAACTAGGCATTGTAGATTTTTTATTTGTTTTTTATTTTTTATCTGCAGTTCGACAACATATACAATTTATATATTTTTCTCAGTTTGCTATAGAGTCGCGGTGTAAGGAGTTGATTTTTAAGTCGCGGGTTCCAATCCCACTGCGGGACGTGGAGACCGGCCCTTCGGATGAGACCGCATAAACCGAGGCCCCGTGTCGCAATAGGTGCTGGCTCAATGGCCCTAAGTGCCGAGTATAGGTCTAAATTTGCAGCCCTCCACCGGCAAGTGGTGACGTCTCAATATGAGTGAAAAATTCTCGAGAGGAACGTTTTCATATATTTCTCTTCGTAAGCGAATTGCTCGAAGCATAGTTCTATAAGAATGTGGGCGCTTAAAGCAATATGAGCTGCAACTTTGATGTCGGAAATTTTTGTTGTAAAATTGTAAGTTACTATTTCAATGACAGGAAAAAGGGACGTTTATAAACTTCTGTTGTTCATATTTGCGCTGGAAGAACTATTTTTAAGCTTTGGTTGAAGCAGAATTGCATTGTACAATTGAATTCGTACATAATACCATATATTCGATTGTACAGAAATCTTCCTTCTGAAACAATTTAATACTTTATGTCAAATTGATCAAAAAGGTTCAAATTCCATAAAAATTTATCAAAACAGCACATTAACAGCAAAATTAAATTCTCAAAAATGCAGCTCATATTGCTTTAAGGATGGATTCTTCCCGTATTTATTATATTCAAAACTTAATGAAACTTCCACAGATTTGAAAAAAAGAACAGTATCAATAAGTAAGCGCATCAATGTAATTAAATTTGACCATTTTATTTTCCAGCAAGGTCAGGTCAAGGTCATTATCTTAAGGACATAATTACATTTGCTATACTTCTATCTTAAAATCTTTTGTTTTTCACTTGCATAAAAAGATGATACCACATAAGGTCTATCAAATTGATATAAATAATTCAATTAAAATAGAAATTGACTAAGCCGAATTTACTCT